CAGCCTGGGAAAAAAAAAGCAACTAAAAAAAAAAAAAAAAAAAAAAAAAAAAGAGATAATCAAAGAGTATATAAGAAAAAAAGAAATTTTAGCGTATGTTAGGCAGTTAGTAATCATAAAAATATTAATACTTATTTTTTGTTTGTGATATTTGTCAGCTCTTTAAAATCTGTAACTTGTAATTAATAGTTCTAAATAAATATTCAATTTTGTACTAGTTTTATATTTACAATGCTGCATTCTTTTTATTCTAGAGGGTCCCCATATTGTATAAACTTTAGGCTCACAGAACCTGAAAGCATCTAGATACAATATAAACTAAATATGGAATGGAACAATTAGGAAAATTCCAAATCTAGGGGGTTTTTTAAGTGTCTTTCATAATCACATCTCAGGTAATCAAGTGCCTTATATGGCCAGCAGAAAGGAGTGGAAATTAAGATTAAGAGGTGTCAACAACAGACACTCAGCCATAGATGGGCCAGAAGAACAAACTCTGCCCCCAGCCTAGTGGTACAGAGGAGACACAGACAAAAGCCATTAGTAATCTGGAGACAACAGATGCTGGTGAGGATGTGGAGAAACAGGAACACTTTTACACTGTTGGTGGGAGTGTAAATTAGTTCAACCATTGTGGAAGACAGTGTGGCAATTCCTCAAGGACCTAGAAATAGAAATTCCATTTGACCCAGCAATCCCATTACTGGGTATATATCCAAAGGATTATAAATCGTTCTACTATAAGGACACATGCACACGAATGTTCATTGCAGCACTGTTTACAATAGCAAAGACCTGGAACCAACCCAAATGCCCATCGATGATAGACTGGACAGGGAAAATGTGGCACATATACACCATGGAATACTATGCAGCCATAAAAAACGATGAGTTCGTGTCCTTTGTAGGGACATGGATGAACCTGGAAACCTTCATTCTCAGCAAACTGACACAAGAACAGAAAATCAAACACCGAATGTTTTCACTCATAGGTGGGTGTTGAACAATGAGAACACATGGACACAGGGAGGGGAGCATCACACATTGGGGTCTGTCGGGGGGGACATAGGGGAGGGACTTCGGGGGGGTGGGGAGTTGGGGAGAGATAGCATGGGGAGAAATGCCAGATATAGGTGATGTGGAGGAAGGCAGCAAATCACACTGCCATATGTGTACCTATGCAACAATCTTGCATGTTCTTCACATGTACCCTGAAACCTAAAATGCAATTTAAAAAAAAAAAAACATTAGCAGGCTTTAAGCAAGGGAGCAAGTGTTTAAGACAAGGAGGCAGGTGTGTGAGCAGGGATATCACTTATTAGAGAGATGGTGACGGCTTGAACCCAGGTGATGCTTCTTCAGGATTGCCACTGTTTTGTGTTGACATTCACCAAGTAGAATGACCTTCAGGTTTTTGGGGCACTCGAAGTACATAGGAGCCAGAGTTTCACTAGCTTCCCCAGCAATCCTTGCTTAGTCAATTGATTCCTATGTCTGCAGCCAAATACTATAAAAAAAAACTCTAGGGGAGGTAAACTCCTCCCATCCTCTTGGCTTTTCAATGAATCATTTAGATGGGAAACACAAGCCTATTCAGGTAAAAAGACACATGAACTTCAGGCCAGGATCACAGTCCTGTCCCAAATATATGACTTTCTGCCCTCCTTCAAATAATGGGGGTGGGTGTGCAGGAGTGTAATTTTTTTTTTTTTTTTCTGCTAACAACTGGTACTTTGTTAGTGGGGAAACTCGCCTTGGTCTGGCAGACAGACTGGGATGGACAGGACCAGCGCCCATTCTCGAGGGGTTATTTTCTGGAAGATTAGGTGTTTCTCCTTGTAGGTTTAGAGGAAACACCCTCATAAATGAAAATCCCCCAGAGGGCAGCACTGCAACTGCCAGGCAGCCGGGGTAGGAGGGGCGCCCTAGGCACAGCTGGGCCCTTGGGACAGTAGGGCTTCGATGTCAGGCTCGATGTCAATGGTCTGGAAGCGGCGGCTGTACCTGCGCACAGGAACACCATCAGGGCCCACGAGGAACTTCTCAAAGTTCCATACAACATCGTTTCGGCATACCGGAGACCAGGTGATGAGCTTGGGGTCGGTCATGAGCGCAGTGGCATCGTCGCTGGGCGCTGGCAGGGCCTCCCGCAGGAAGGCGAAGAGAGGGTGCGACCCCGCACCGTTCACCTCGCACTTCTCGAAGAACATGAAGTTGGGCTCGAACCCACCACCAGGTCGGACATACTTGAGGGAATTCAAAATCTCTTCGTTCTTGGCGTTCTCCTGATGTCCAAACTGGTTGTACGGGAAGCCGAGCACCACCAGGCCCCGGGGCCCGAGGCGCCGCCGCAGCGCGTTCATCTGGGTGTAGTCCCGGACCGTGGTGCCTCACAGGGACGCCACATTCTCGATAAGCAGCCCCTTGCCCCGCAGGGAACCCAGGCAGCACACGTGGCGCAGCTATTCAAGAAGTTAAGGGAGCGCCCCGAACCAGCCGCGGGAGTGTATTTTTAAAACACATGATTTTAATTCATTCACAGTTTCCTAGCAACCAGGAAAAAGCAAGTTTTCCTGATGTCTGTGAGCACCAGCCTGAGATGCGCAGATGCTCCAGCATGCCTCCAGAAGCGAAGAACAAAAGCACTGGAATCGATCTCCGGTTGGTGAGCGGTTCTCAAAGGGGAATTTGTTAAGGGCAGGCACCTCATAGTACAGCCCCAGAGACCTGTACCACAATTGCAGGGGTGCAGCAGGGAACCTGCATGGAATGTGCAGATATTCTCCAGGGAATGATATTCCTATAGAATTTGGGGGGGCTCTGACCTCTAGGGAATTGTTTCTATGAAACGGCTAAAGCCTGAGACAGCTGACATCTTTCCAGTACCTCTTTTGTGTGTGCTTTCAGCCAGCGGTCTTGTTTTCTTTAAAGCTTTATAGACAGAGAAGAGGGGTAACTCTCAGCATTCAAATCTAGCTGAATTAGAGTCTGTGCTAATGGCCTTCTTTAAAACACGCATAGCTACTAAACGCATATAAATCACTGACTTCTACAGCTGTAGGGAACCTCTCCAATCATTCAATGCTTGTTTTACAGAGGGAGAAATGAAACTAGAGAGGCGAATTAATTTGTTCAAGGTGCACAACTAGTTGGTGACCTCACAGGCTCTTCTGACCTACAGCCTAGTAGTTTGGGAGTGGGACATACTCACATTTTAAAGATTTAAACCTTTGCAAATTATACCACATTGAATGGTGGTGGTGGGGACAGGGGATGGGAAGGATGAGGGATGATCTAAGAGGAAGCTGTTACAACAACTGAGCAATGCAGATATTATAACTTGTAAGTCTGAAACTCAAAGGGCTTACTCAGAATTACAAGACAAGAATGAATTAAAGCACATGCTAAGTGTGTCCACTCCCTGTCAAGGAATTGAGCTAGGTCAAATAGTCTAGCAACAAATGTTTTTCCATATTATTGAATCAGGAGCATTGTAATGCATGCCAGACCTTATATAGTTACAGAATGTTGGGGTAACAAGTGCTCTGGGCAGTGTTAGCAAGGCCCATCATTTTTTGGATAATACCTGAGGCCAGGAAGCATAAGATGCACAGCCACATCAATGAGTGTGGCTTTCCTGGGTCCAGGGCTCGTTCTTCTCTAGGCGATGGCGCCACCTCTATGGCTTGCTGTATCCTCTCCCAGTTAACCCTGCAGGGAGCAATATCATCGTCTTGATATTTATTCAATTTCCTGTGAAATGCTCTTACTTTCTTCCCCACTTTCACCTTATCCACATCTCATCCACTCCCCAAAAACTAAAGCAAATATAGTGGCAGCAAGAATGATCCAAAATAATGAAGTTAGCCTAGGGAAGAATTCATTTAGATTAGTGGCATCCTGTTTGCTCTTTGCTTACTGTTAGTAGAGCTGAATCAAGTGAGGCTTAGTGTTTATATGGTACCATTTTCAAAAAACCATTTCTAAAGTTTGTTTTCCAATCATCTTTAGAGTGATTTAAAAACATACACAATTTAAAAAGTACAAAGGATAGTATAATGAACATCCATGGACTTAGAATTCCAGAGTCAACAACTATTAACATTTTGATAGATTTGTGCATTAGCGTTCCACAGAGAAACTGAACAGACAGGATGTGTGGATACACACACACACACACACACGTACACACACACACACAACATTAGGAGCAGTATAGGCTTAACTCTCTCTCTTGCTCAAATATTTCGATTCTAGAGTTGGCTCACATGATTGTGGAGTCTTGGCCAGTCCAAAATCTGATAGTGGAGGCCGCCTGGCTGGCTGCAGAATCAGGGAAGAGTTGCAATTTGAATCCAAAGGCTGCCTACTGGCAAATTCCTTCTTGCATGGGGGAGATCAGTCTTTTGTACTATCACAGTTTTTGGTTGATTGGACAAGGCTCACTCAGATGGAGGGCAATCTGCTTTCAAAGTCCACTGATTTAAATCATAATCTCATCAAAAAACACCTTCTACAGAAACATCCAGGACAATGTTTGAACAACTATTTGGGCATAGTGGCAGAGCCAGAAAATAAATTTAAAAAATAAATAAAACATCACAGATAGAGTTGATATCCTGCTTATACCTCTCCCTGAGTACCCCATTCAACAGGGGTGATTTTTGATAGCCTCCTTTTTGGTGACTTCAGACCCCTTGTGACCCCATCACCTGATCTTCAATTTCTGATTCAATGTCAGGGTGGGAATTGAAGACATATTTGCCATAACCACATGTTCTTTCAAGGACCTTCTGGTCATCGGAGGTTATAGATGGATTCTATGGAAAACTCGATTATGAGCCACTGAGCCAGGGTGAACTCATTGGGAGTTGAATGGTCACAGAAAAACCCAAATGCATTCAGATCTAGATGAATCACATCCATCTAGCTTGGATGGTTATGCCCGAATAGACTCATCAGCTATTACATGGACCATTTTGGTTTTACTTGCTAGATTATTGCCAGGAAGTGTAAATTAAGTAAATAAGTGTTGGAAAATTTGAAAGGAACAAAAGGCGCCAAATAAACACAAAATACAGTGCATGAGCCTCCAAGCAGCTCTCTGACTCTAAATCTGCTGAATAAGAGGCCTGAATGAGGTGTTCCCTCAGATCCCTTCCAGAGCCTAGGACTCCATGACTGGTATTTGGAGTGATAGCATCCCTAACTCAAATTCTCTCTGATTTGCTGCTGTAGCCTCTAGGCTCAGAGAAGCTGGGTCTTCCCACAGGATATCAAGTGAAGTGTTAGCTGCGGATACCTGCTCAGCTGGCTAAGCCTTTAACCATGGAAAGAAGGCTCATAAAGAAGGAGATGAAAAAGCTCTTGTAAGTATGATTGAGAATAACTTTCATTTATGACACTTGGCATTCGGTGGGTTTCACGTCATAGATGGCTTAGGTATTGGCAGCAGGTAAAAATCTAAGGAAAGATCTATTTCTGCAAGGTAGGAGAAAGCCAGAGGATGATATGGCCTCTCTTGGTCTCCTGCCAGGGAGGCCTCACATGTAGTGCACGCCAGGATGCTGAAACTCTTGGGAGGATGTTTCTGCCGGCAGCCTGCACATCCGAGGCATCCCCATTCTAGAGCCCAAGAGCTGAGCCTGTGTCCCAGTCAGCCTGTGTAGGCAGGATGCTGTTGAAAGGGGCTGGCCCTGCTGGTAAAAGGTATAGGAGAGATTCCTGAAAGGGCCCAGCGTCTAAATTGCAGCTTCTGCTCTGCCTCTTTTATTGTCAGCCTTATTGACTAAGAAATTCATCTCCTTTTTCTTGACATCTGAACATTCCTTTGAAAGAGATGTTTTCCTCCCATGGTAGTTTTTCTTTGACATGCACTTAACAAATGTTGGTGAAAGATCACAAACCATATAAAAAGAAAAAAATCACAGACCATATAAAATTTGTCTCATATGTGTTATAGACACAACAGTAATACCCTTTTCATCAAAGGCCTTATCACAGTCCCCATCAAATATCTTTTCTCGGCCTACTAAGACCATTTTATTTTAATAAGTTCTTAAGAAATGCTGGAAGAAACATATATGTGTATACACTTATATGTAAATTCATATATAGTACCCATGTACACATATATGTGTATGCACATATATGTGAATTCATATTCATCTCTTGCTTTTAAGCAGAGATTATATTGGCATCAGACTTGGGGAAAATGAATTTGACCCAAAAGGAAGAAGGCAACTTTCCTTTCTAGATAATATGGTAAAAAAAAAGTATGCTGATGCAAGTCATATTTGTATTATATGTTAGAGGCCAATAGAATAGTAAAGAACAAACCATGATCAGGAATGTCAACTCTTCTACACATCTCACCCAAAGAATTGGAATGTCAAAAGTGATAGAATACAATGTTATATCCAAAGAATACATTTAGGCTACTTCAAAGTATCCCAAAATTTCACAGCAAAATTGTAAGAATTTTTATCAATCTAGTTAAGCTTAATGACTCAGAAGAAAAGCTTTTAGAAGCCAGAAACAGACTTATTCTCCACTTTATGTAAAACTGAGCTGTGCCAAAATCAACCTGGGAGATGCCATAGTCCTTTTCCTGTGCCATTTCCTCTCTCTGACATTCCTAGGGTAGCACCTCTTTCTCTTCTCCCCTCATGGTGCTCATTTTACCTTCTTTTATTGAAAGTCACTGTTAGGAAAGTATCTGCTAAGGATAAACTAAAGTGGAATCGCTAATAAGTTTTTATGCATTCCTCCTCCTAAGGATATTTGCATTCTAAAGAGAAAATGCCTTATGACAAAAGAATACTTATCTATAGAATTTTACATATATGGAATTGATCAACTTTGGACATGCTGCTTGAATTTAACATGGGAAGCAAATGATTATTTTAAACAGCGTGTCTCAATCCTTTCGGTCTTGTGAAACCATTTCTGTGTGGGGGTATTTGGCATATTCTTTGCTTTCCTGTAAATTCTGTTCCAGTTGAGTTTAATATTTAGATAAATGTGATTTCAGTTAATTATGGTTATACATTTTAAACTGCAGCATTGTTGAATTATCATGTAAACCCAAACTGAGTATTAACTCAGCTACCAGAGCATCAGCAACTTCTCTCGTATTTTGGTGGGAGAGGGAGGGATGGGGAAAAAAGCCTCTTTCTGCAGACAGAGCCCATGTCACTCCAATGGTTCAATGCTGCTCTCTTGCTTTTAAGGGGAGATTATATTGGCATCAGACTTCGGGAAAATGAATTTGACCCAAAAGGAAGAAGGCAACTCACCTTTCTAGATGATATGGTAAAGAAAGGCATGCTGATGCGAGTCATATTTGTGTTATATGTGTATTAAAGAGAGAGAAAAAGGGTCTAATTTATACAATAAACAAAGCTAATTTTGACACCCATCCCCCAAATGTCCCCTTCCTCATCTTCT